CCTCGAATTATGTAGTATAGTAAGTTGATGTGTTTTTATTTGTTTGTTAAAAATTTTGTAAGTAGGGTGAAAGAGGGAGGGACATACGCCAAACAAAGTCATTTATCTTTTATGTTCTGCGTGATTAAACGAGAGTGGGGACGCTCTCTGATTGGCTAATTTGTGGATAGAGTAATGAAAGCAATTATCACATTGGCTGACTGTTGATGTAGTATTTAAAAGCCAGTCCTTGATTGGTTGATATAGATATAGTATCAAAGATGCTGCTCCCTCATTGGCTGATATTGATGTAACAGCTAACAGGTTTCCTGATTGGCTGGTATTGATGTAATAGCTAAGACGTTTCCTGATTGGCTAATATAAATGTAGTATCAAAGACGTTCCCTGATTGGCTGATAATATAAGTCTTCATACTAAAGCCGTTTCTTGATTGGCTAACTATAAATGCATGACTACTGTGATCGTCTTCCATTGGACAGTGTTTTCATAAAGACTCAATGTGATTGGTTCATTGAGGAATGAATCAACGTTTGGCATTTGTTTCATGAGAGCGAATCACAAAACGATATTAATAAAACCGTATTTCCTCTCTACCTCTTAATATTTGTTCTTATTATTTTTCTTATTTTTGTCATTTTGTAAAGTATGAAAATAAACACAACTCTTTAATTATAACCTTTTGTTTATCCTCTAACGAAAAGCTGAAACATTTCTACAGTACGTTCTTATTAATGTCTACCGTATGAACATTGTTTATATACCTGCAGTGTCTATGTACATTGTTTGTATACCTGCACTGATTATGGACTATACATTGTACAAACAGACACGACAAATGGGCCCCAATCCTTAGGGGGTCCCATTTCAAACACATAGAACGGGGCCCCGATAAGAATGGTCCCATATACTGATGGTTAGATCATGCCAAGTTGGGCCCTCATTTGAACTACTGCATATTTACGGAGTCAAATAATACAAGGGGCCCATAAAGAACAAGGTCCCATAAAGACAAGGGCCCATTAAGGCAGGGGCCCATCAACACAAGGGGCCTATTAAGACAGGGGCCCATTAAGACAGGGGCCCACCAATACAAAGGGTCTATTAAAACTGAGTTGCACCATTTGAATAAAGTATTAAATCCTTACAACGCATAAGATTTAATGGGCTTCAAATATATCCCCACACTTAAAATGACCGCGTGACCCAATTCGTAAAAGGTCACTTGTTAGCCTCTTACGCTAGTTTGAGAGAGAGAGAGAGAGAGAGAGAGAGAGAGAGAGAGAGAGAGTACAGTAGAGTAAGCGGGCGTGTTTACTGTTAGCGGCTCAGCACATACCGTTAGTATCATCAGCATCACCGCGGCGCGCACTGACCAAGACCTGACTGTCATAGAAAACGAACACTAAATCATCATTAAAGAAAACGGAAAAAATTAAAGTAGTAACTAAACAAATTTGATGGCTTACACACGAGGAGGAAACTCGTGTATATTAACGTATGGAAAAACGTGCGTCCAAAAAGTAACAACTATAATGAGTAATGACGTGGAAGGTCAGATTTAACTCCCAATAATTGAGAGAAATAAGGTTAACATGACATTTAGATAGAATGAGAGATTTATTGTGTTTTTTCTTATAAGATTTGGATCACATGAAGAAAAGACAACTCAACTTATTTCACCTGATGATTAAACACCCCAACAATAAGTGGGTTGGGTTAGGTTAAGTTGGGTTGGTTAAGTTGTGTTGGTTTAGTTAGGGTTGATTAGTCAAGGTTAGGTTAAATAAGATTAGGCAAGGAGAATCGACCCAAAGGAATGCGAGTTCAATATTGCTGGATATGACTCCTTTACGAACCTTTCTCAAGAAACTTGCGAGAGGGGTGTGGTTATTTATGCTAGGCAAGACCTTAGAGCCAGCCAGGCGAGGGTACAGGGAGAGGATGTTTTTGAAGAGTCCAAGTGGTGTAAAATTAAACTAAAGGGAGGGGGACTTACTTATTGTAGGGTGTATCTACAAATACTCAAACTGTGGCCCACTAAATCAAAGGAACTTAAGAGCCTTAATAGACAACGCGGCGATGCTCAACCCTAGCCACCTCCTTATCATGGGGGACTTTAACTATGGCGACATCGACTGGAGAAACGAGTTCACCCCAAGTGACTTGTATAACCCTGCTACTCTTTTTGTAGAAACTCTGAGAGATAATTTTCTGTTCCAACATGTTAGACACCTGACACATTACAGAGGGGAGCAAACACCCAAGCCACTAGACCTCATCATAACAAACGAGGAGGGTATGGTGGCCAAACTGGAACACCTTGCCCCAGTTGGCACCAGTCACCATATAGTGTTGTCATTCAGATTTAACTGTTACCGAGTTCAAGATAAGGCCAGGCCAAGGTGCAAATATTACAAGGGAAATTACAACGGGATGAGGGAAGAGACGAGGGGTATCCACTGACCTGACTCATTAAGGCACAAGAACGCGGACACTACGCTGAATATCATAACTAGTAAAGTGACCCATTTGATCGATAAAAAATATACCAAATACCAAACCCAGTGCCTCTAGGAATATGAGGGGATCCCTACACATGAACCACGCGGCGGTCGACAAAGTTAAGAAGAAAACCCAGAAATTCAAGACGTGGGTTGGGTCAAACGATGAGCAGGACAGGAGGATGTATGCAAGAGTCAGAAACCAAGCAAAGATAGAATGTAGGAGGGCTGAAAAGGAGTTCCAGAGGCTGGTTGCAAGGGAGGTCAAGTCAAACCCAAAGGCGTTTTACCGCTATGCAAAGTCGAAATTAAAAACGCGAGTAGGAGTATCAGACCTGAGGCTTGAAGATGGTAGTTACGCAGATTCTGACCAGGATAAAGTTGAGGCATTGAACAGCTTCTTTTCCTCGGTGTTCACAAGAGAGGATGCGATTAACCTTCCTGCGTTTGAGGACAGACGGTTCGACACAGCACTGACCCACATTATGTTCACAGAAGAGGGTATTAGAAATAAACTGTCAAAGCTAAAGGTCCATAAGAGTCCCGGTCCTGACAAGGTGCATCCCAGAGTGCTAAGAGAGTTGTGCAACGAGCTTGCCGAGCCCCTGAAGATCCTGTTCTGTAAATGCCTGGATGAACGAAAGGTCCCCAGTGAATGGAAAGTGGCTTAAGTGAGTCCTATCTTCAAGAAGGGCGATGGTCACTCCACGAACAACTATAGACCGGTGAGCCCGACCAGCATAATATGTAAATTACTTGAGAGTATTATCAGAGATGCCGCGATGGAACATCTACTACGAAACAACCTTGTAAAGGATAGCCAACACGGTTTTATGCCGAGGCGCTCCTGCTTAACACAATTGCTCAAGGTATTGGATATTTGGACCCATGTTCTGGTAATATCGACAATATTTACCTACATTTTGCCAAGGCTTTCGACAGTGTACCCCACGAAAGGCTGAAAATCAAACTGGAAGGGTACGGAATAGGGGGAAATGTCCTAGCGTGGATAGAAGACTTTATACATGACCGCAAGCAGTGTGTGGTGATTAATGGCACGAAATCATCATCTGTACCTGTCACAAGCGGGGTACCACAGGGCAGTGTATTGGGCCTGCTGTTGTTTGTTTGTTTCATAAATGACATGTCTGACGTTGTACACTCCTCCATACAAATGTTTGCCGATGACGCCAAGTTATTTCGGGAAATCAAGAACCAAGCGGACTGTGAAGAGCTGCAGAAGGACCTCTGTGAGCTCCAAGAATGGTCTAAGAAATGGCTGCTGAGATTCAATGTCACGAAGTGTAAGAGGATGCACCTGGGGCGTACCAACGGTAAGGAGGCGTATCAAATGTCCCAACGGGATGAAGAAACTGCACTATTTGAGACTGAATGTGAGAAAGACCTAGGTGTGTATGTTGACAATGAGCTGAAGTTCTCGGGCCATTGCAAGAAGAAGGTAAATCAGGCAAATAAATTATTGGGTCTTATGAGAAGGTCGTTCAGATATCTAGACGGTCCATCCCTCGTAACGATCTTCAAGAGTGAAGTGCTTCCCCATCTGGAGTACTGTCACCCCGTCTGGTCCCCAAGATATGCTAGAGACCGTCAGTTGGTTGAAAATGTTCAAAAGAGGGCCACCAGACTGGTGCCTGCCCTTCGGCACCTCAGCTACCCTGAGAGATTGGAGCACCTGAACTTGCCTAGCTTATACTACAGACGGGCAAGGGGTGACCTAATAGAGGTGTAGTAGCATCTCAAGGGTCACTACTCAGTCGAGTGTCCTTACTTGGAGCTGGCGGGCGCTCGCCCCCCAAGGGGTCACAGCTCAAGATTGAAGAAGCCGCAAGTCCAGAAAACTGTGAGGGCAAACTTTTTCGGAGTGAGATTTGTGAACTCTTGGAACAATCTGCCAGAAAGTGTTGTGACGGCATCGAGTGTGAGCTCTTTCAAGACAAGACTTGACCAACACTGGAGCAGGTTCAGGTACATTCAGGAGCCGGTGCATGCCCAGTACTTGCCAACAGTGCGTAACAGAGACATGACCGATCGCCCAAGCGGCTAACGAGCCGATCAGTGGTGAAGAGGATAAAAGTAAGTAAAAGTTAAGTTAGGTTATGTTAGGGTTTGGGTCGTTAATAATCGGGTTGTATTTCGTCTAGGAATCGAACCATTGTCCATTCACTTACTTAAGAGAGTACACTGGCCACTACACCTCGGGGTGTCTTGTCCGATATCTGCAAAAAAAAAAAAAAAAAAAAATAATAATAATAATAATAAAATAAATTATTATCTATAATATATTTATATTTAACAAATTTTATACGAGGAAAAAGCAACTACGCCACATACACAATCAATATTTTTGCCTTGGTTTTTGTTTTTCTTATCAGTCAAGGTAACACGCATTTTATGGCATCAGATAGTGATTGTTATCAAAGCCGCCAGCTGATAGAACCACAGATAAGGAGAGAGACGACACCTCCCCCCACACACACACACACGCCCCTTAGTCCTGAATTATGGCTACTTGGAGGAACATCTGCTTTACCTCGGTACTTCTCTTCTTCTTCCTATGTCATCCAGGCCTATGTGAGAGTGATGGTGATGATGGTGGTGGTGATGGTGACAGAAGCTTAATGGTGGCGGCAATCAGCAAGAAGTATATGATGGTATGGAGTTCTCCCAATGATAAACTTGGAAGTGAGTTGGAACATATTATTTTTTGTTTATACATTATTGTGGTTAGGTTAGGTTAGGTGAAGTGGAGGGAAGGCTGGTGAACGTTAGTCTGGCGTAGCTTCCATAAGTGTGTCATTGTGGGGTGGAGGGAAGGCTGGCGAACGTTAGTCTGGTGTAGCTTCCATAAGTGTGTCATTGTGGGGTGGAGGGAAGGCTGGCGAACGTTAGTCTGGCGAAGTTTTCGTAAACATAACATTACGTGATAGAAGAAGAAACGCCAGGAGCTAGTGACTGCTCATATTGGCGAGATTTCCCTAATACGTAGACCATGAGGCGGTAGGGGTGTGTGAGGGGCGCGTCATGTGAGGTGAAGACTTGCTTCACTACAGAAGGGTGAGCTGATAACCCCCCCCCCCCCTGTGATGACTGGCACTTGGGCACATCGTTGGGTTAGGTTGGGTTAGGTTATTTAGTCATCAGGTAAAATAAACTGGGTTGCGTAATTTTCACGTTACAACATATCAATACAGGTACAAATACAGGTATAATCATTCTTAATTAACTAACAACAATACATTACAGGTATAAGTACATTCCCAGGTATCGAAATATTATCAATTCAGAACATGAGACTAAATACAGCAGTTTCATTATTTCACAAACAATAAATACAGTTACAGATAGAGATACAGGTAAAGAGATTTAATTAGTTCCTACAGGTACAGGTAGAGGTAGAGGTACAGGTAACTAATAAGAAGGTACATTCACGCGCCATACTCTCGACGCACCCTCTACCCCTGACTCGATGGAAGTCGTAGCCTTAGCTTCATACCGAACGTCACCACCCCCCCATCGTTCAGTGGTGCAATGTGGTAGCTCGAAGCTTCGCTGGATTGTACGAATAAATAGTTCATGATGTAATATTTGAGAGAATATATGCACGATACAGGTTTTTTTTTAGTGAGTTCACAACATTTCTTTTTACCATCACTATACTTAACATCACTATACAAGAGGGACTGTTCGGTTTGCAGCCCTGACTACGACTTCCCTCGAGCCAGGGGTAGAGGTAGAAGGTGCATCGTAACTATGGAGCGTGAGTGTACCTGGATGACACCCCAGTAATTTTACCATGATAACAATGCCTTGATAATTCCCCCTTCTTTCCTAACCCTCACCTACTCTGACAGTCTCCTTCCACCATCCTCTCCCTCCTTCTCTTATCCCCTCCCATCCTCACTCCCTCCCTCACCTATCCCTCCCATCCCTCTATGAGGGTCTGTCTCTGTTTCTCTTCAATTCTCCTTTCCTCTATGCTTCTCTCTCTCTCATTGTGTGTGTGTCCGTTAAAGAGAGAGAGAGAGAGAGAGAGAGAGAGAGAGAGAGAGAGAGAGAGAGAGAGAGAGAGAGAGAGAGAGAGAGAGTATTATAAACGAGTTAACAAAACATCGAGGCACTTACACTTGACCTTGGCACTCCCGTGATAAACAAACTCATAGTCACACTAAAAAGTATGTCCCTCAATATTGTCAATGCCTATGTGCCTCCCTCCACCCCTACTGTATCTGTCCCACCACACCATATCACCCCCACCCCCACCCTCCTTGTGGGGGACCTCAATGCCCGACACCCTAGTCTCTGCTCCCAGGGGCCCTACACAAACTCCCGGGGTAACTCCTGATTTTCTTACCTACAAACCACTGATGACCCTGTTACCAACACCTCTTCCCTCCCTGACCAGATATCCCTCCTCCTAGTCACAGGCCTGGCACTTGACCTTATTAGGGACCTGCCACACACTGCCATAAACAGATGAATTGTACCGGGAATTTCCCCCACACACTCATTATTCTGTCACTTTATGTAACTTGCTGACAAACCCCATGACCCTTCAGGCTTTTAAGCCCTTAATGCACGAGTCACAAAGGCAAGCATGAACTATGCGTGCTTCCCAGATGGGCGCTGGAAACGCTTTTGCGCTTCACTTTGCACAGGATGTAAGGGGGTGCCCAATAAACTAGCCCCCTCAGGGGCAAATAAAAACAGAAAAAATAACTCCATACAGTGACCTACCTGTCCGTCCGTCCGTCCGTCCGTCTATCTACTTTATGTGTAACAATCTCTTGCAATAACCTCCTTCCCAACACACAACAGGTTCATGGTCTGACTTCAACGATGATATAGACTCAGTCCTGTGTACCAGTGACCTGAATTGTACCGCTGCTCTCTACAACTTGGACTTGGCATTGAGCTACGAGTCACCCTTACCCTCTAAACCTTACTGTGTATGTGAGTACACTTCATACATGAGTACACTTTAGGTTATGTATTTGAGTTACACTATTTGTAAGTAGATTTTAATGATAATGTTCAGGTTCCTTGAAATGGTAACAGAATATATTAATTATTATTATTATTATTTCATTAATATTATTCCAATCATCATCATCATCATCATCATCACCCACACCCTTGATCCTTGGGTATGTATCCACAGTACAAAACACCGGGGACGAAGGTTCGAATCCTGAAGTGGGTCACTGTACATGTGGTGCCGGTCGGTGTGTCTCGTACAGCCGCTCCTATAGTTTGGACAACGCTGTCTTCTACTACTGTGGACCTTGTGGTAAGTTGTCTGTCTGTCTGTCTGTCTGTCGCTTTTTGTAAGGGTTATTAATATCTCTCTCTCTCTCTCTCTCTCTCTCTCTCTCTCTCTCTCATCCTTGTCTAATAAATGAAATTCCTTAATATATCAAAATAAAAAAGTTCAGTACCATTATTACCTTCCGACATTTTCCGATTTACAAAATTTCACAAAACAGTTAAACTTAAGTCACTGATTACTATCGACGCCATATTTAACTGTCGTGTTTATATTATTAGATAACCAACCCAACCCAACCAAACCCAACCCAACCCAACCCAACCCAACCAAACCCAAACCAACCAACCCAACCAACAAACCAACAACCCAACCAAACCAAACCAACCAACCCAACCCAACCAAGCCTAACATCCCCTAAACTAACCTAACCTAACCTAACCTAACCTAACCTAACCTAACCTAACCTAACCAACCACTAAGCGTGTGCATGTAACGTGTGTGTGTTGATCTTTACAGGATGGGTTGGTGCACAGTGCACAAACCACTCATGTACACATGCGTTAGCTGAGTGTCGTGGTGGTTACTGTGAGTGTACTAACGATGGCATCTTCTATGACCTTACCTATTGGTGAGTTGACCTGACCTGACCTGACCTGACCTGACCTGACCTCTTATGGTTGTTATACTGTGTTCTGCTGTGTTACTTTATATATTGCTGTGTCATCCTGTGTTATCAGTGAGTGAGTGAGTGAGTCAGTCAGTCAGCCAGTCAGTCAAAGTTGGCAAATTCCATTGAGCTAACACACATAGATAAGACAGTTATTGAATCAGTTAATTGAGTCAGATATTGAATCAGTTAATTGAGTCAGTTATTGAGTCAGTTAATTGACTCAGTTATTGAATCAGTTACTGAGTCAGTTATTGAGTCAGTTATTGAATACATTGTTGAAATAGTTATTGAGTCCGTTATTGAGTCCGTTATTGAGTCCGTTATTGAGTCCGTTATTGAGTCCGTTATTGAATCAGTTATTGAATCAGTTAATGAGTCAGTTCATGAATCAATTATTGAGTCGGTTCATGAATCAGTTAATGAGTCAGTTATTGAGTCAGTTAATGAATCAGTTAATGAATCGGCTAATGAGTTAGCTGATGAGTCAGTTATTGTATCAGCTATGGAATCAGTTATTGAGTCAGTTAATGAATCAGTTAATGAATTAGTTAGAGTCAATTATTGAGTCAGTTATTGAGTCAGTTAATGAATCAGTTATTGAGTCAGTTAATGAACCAATGGGTGACTTAATGATAGCTAATTAGTAAGACTCGGTCAATTAGTAAGACTGAGTCAATTAGTAAGACTAAGTTAATAAGATTGAGTCAATTAATAAGACTGAGTCAATTAGTGAGACTCGGTTATTTAGTGAGACTAAGTCAATCAGTAAGACTGAGTCAATTAGCGAGTTAATGAGCTTTCTTTACACACTATTTCAGTTACATTCCCTTCTACTTCAAGTCCATGGCAATTGAGATGTTGGTGTCGACTGCTGTAATCGCTATGGTGTGCACCATCTTCGCTTACGGCTACCACAGATTCAATGCGTAAGTGTTTATTCTCTCTAGTGCCTGGCGTTTATTCTCTCTAGTGCCTGGCGTTTATTCTCTCTAGTGCCTGGCGTTAATTCTCTCTAGTGCCTGGCGTTAATTCTCTCTAGTGCCTGGCGTTAATTCTCTCTAGTGCCTGGCGTTTATTCTCTCTAGTGCCTGGCGTTTATTCTCTCTAGTGCCTGGCGTTAATTCTCTCTAGTGCCTGGCGTTAATTCTCTCTAGTGCCTGGCGTTAATTCTCTCTGGTACTTAAACATAGCGACAGTAATGGCAAACGTTAGTCTGGCGCAGCTTTCATATCTTCGACGTACACATAACGATGTACAAATAACAAAGATGTACACATAACTACGACGTACACATAACAACGACGTACACGTAACTATAACCCACACAACAACGACATAAACATTACGACGTACACATAATAACGACGTACACTTAATAACGACGTACACATAGCAATGACGTACACATAGCAACGACTTACACATGACGACGTACACATAACGACGTGCACACAATAACGACACAGGAAATGTACTTTGATAAACAGTGATAAGAACAATAATTCTTCCTCAAATAATCTGTGTAAAAAATTGTATCATGAAAAATATAATTAATGATTTTTATTAAGGATTATTATTATTATTATTATTATTATTATTATTATTATTATTATTATTAACATATTAACTAAACCTTGGTATTACACACAGACGGAGGCAAAGAGGTTATCCTGATAGTTGGTTCCGAAGCAATACCAGGAGAGAGGTGAGTGTGTGTTTGTTGTGTTTGTGAATGTTATAAAGTGTGTTTGTTGTGTTTGTGAATGTTATAAGGTGTGTTTGTGAATGTTATAAGGTGTGTTTGTTGATAGTTTGAATTTTTTGCGAGTGTTTGAATTATGTGTGTGTTTGATTTTGTTTGTTTTATTTTTATTTTTGTAAATACCTAACCTAACCTACTTCTGTCTGTCTGTGTGTCTGTCTGTCTGTCTGTGTGTCTGTCTCTCAACCACATCAACATTTCTCTCTGTCTTTCTCTATCTCCGTCTCTCTCTGGCCATATCATTGTCTCTCAACCTGTATCTCTCCCGGTCACACAGTCACCAGCTAACGACACGCCCCCGACCTACGACGACGTAGTGGAGAAACTGCCTTCCTACCAAGACGCCCTCAATATGGTCAAGGTTAGTCGTGAGTTAGGTTAGTTTAGGTTAGGTTAGGTTAAGCCGAGTTAAGGTTGGTTAGGTTAGGTTAAATTAAATTATGCCATGTTTGGTTAAGCTTGTTTATGTTAGGTTAAGTTAGGTTAGCTTAAAGCAGTTTAAATCAGATGAAATAAGCTGGGTACTTAATTTTCAGGTGATGTCATAGTTCCAATGACCTGTGGTGTAATGTTCAGCATGCTCGCCTCGCAAACGATTGGACCCGGGTTCGATCCCCGGGCAAGGTGAAACTATGGGCAAGTTTCTTTACGCCATTTGCCTCTGTCTACCCAGCAGTAATTGGGAACCTGGATGTTAATCGATTTGCGGATCGTATTCCGGGGTAATGGTTAGCCAGTGCAGTTGGCGAGGTGTCCGGTCTTCTCGGACTATTCCTTGACACTGGGTCATGCAACTCGTTAACTCAGAACGTGGTTGTTGTGTTGGCGACAGCTTCTACACCTGAAACTAATTCACGCCTAGGTGGCCCTTGGGCCGGCCATCCTCGAACAAGAGGGGCAACCATTATAATATATACCATAATCATTTGTTAATAGTTGTTGATATAAATGAGTGACAGAGTGTAAACACAGCGTCCATCTTGTTTACAGGAGGGTGAAGGCGGGAAGACCAACGATGCCTTCGAGCCAGACGACATCCATCTTCCTCCCGCCTACGGTGACGTCAACAACGGAACCACTAACTCCACATCCATAGCCATACCTGAACCTATGTCCACACTCACACCTATAACCACATCCACACCTATATCCACATCCACACATATATCCACATCCACACCTATGTCCACATCTAAATTCACGCCCGCATCCACATCGGAGAAGATGGATGAACCGGATGGAGCTTCAGCGGTTAGTGACGTCGGCGAGAGAGCTTCAGTGTCTCAGCCAGTCACCAGGGAGTAAACAGCAAGCCTTGGATCCTGATTGGCTGTCAGTGGAACAATCTGCTTCAGGGAGTTCCACAGCCTAAGCCAATGAGCTGCAGGAGTCCTAAACTCCCCAAAAATGTTCTTCTATGCAGCCTGATTAATTCTTTACTGTTTTAGTTCATTTATATAATTGCCTAACCTAGCCTAACCTAAGTTAACCTAGCCTAACCTAAGTTAATCTAACCTAACCTAAGATAACATTAACCTAATCTAACTTTAACCTCACCCAACTTAACTTTTCCAAACCTAACCTAACTTTAACCAAACCTAACCTAACCAAACATTAAGCTAATCTAACCTAACCATACATTAATTTAGCCAACCCAAATATTAACCTAACCTAATCATATATGTTAGCAATAACCTTGTAATTATTAAACTATTATGTACAGGTGTGGGAGCAACACATCCTCCATGACTTTAATAAACTTTTACTATAACTTATGTACAAGTTTATCAGCCACCTTAACCGTTTATTGTCCTAAAGTGTAAGTAGACAAACAATGTACATAGACAGTGCAGGTATATAAACAATGTACATAGACAGTGCAGGTATACAAACAATGTACACAGACAGTGCAGGTATATAAACAATGTTCCTAGACAGTGCAGGTATATAAACAATGTACATAGACAGTGCAGGTATACAAACAATGTACACAGACAGTGCAGGTATATAAACAATGTTCCTAGACAGTGCAGGTATACAAACAATGTACATAGACAGTGCAGGTATACAAACAATGTACACAACCAGTGCAGGTATATAAACAATGTACACAGACAGTGCAGGTATACAAACAATGTACACAGACAGTGCAGGTATATAAACAATGTACACAGACAGTGCAGGTATATAAACAATGTACACAGACAGTGCAGGTATACAAACAATGTACATAGACAGTGCAGGTATACAAACAATGTACATAGACAGTGCAGGTATACAAACAATGTACACAGACAGTGCAGGTATATAAACAATGTACATAGACAGTGCAGGTATATAAACAATGTACACAGACAGTGCAGGTATACAAACAATGTACATAGACAGTGCAGGTATACAAACAATGTACACAGACAGTGCAGGTATACAAACAATGTACATAGACAGTGCAGGTATATAAACAATGTACACAGTCAGTGCAGGTATATAAACAATGTACACAGACAGTGCAGGTATATAAACAATGTACACAGACAGTGCAGGTATATACAAACAATGTACATAGACAGTGCAGGTATATAAACAATGTACACAGACAGTGCAGGTATATAAACAATGTACACAGACAGTGCAGGTATACAAACAATGTACATAGACAGTGCAGGTATACAAACAATGTACACAGACAGTGCAGGTATACAAACAATGTACACAGACAGTGCAGGTATATAAACAATGTACATAGACAGTAGGTATACAAACAATATACACAGACAGTGCAGGTATATAAACAATGTACATATAGTGTGTATATAAACAATGTACATAGACAGTGCAGGTATACAAACAATGTTCCTAGACAGTGCAGGTATATAAACAATGTTCCTAGACAGTGCAGGTATACAAACAATGTACATAGACAGTGCAGGTATACAAACAATGTACATAGACAGTGCAGGAATACAAACAATGTACACAGACAGTGCAGGTATATAAACAATGTTCCTAGACAGTGCAGGTATATAAACAATGTTCCTAGACAGTGCAGGTATATAAACAATGTACATAGACAGTGCAGGTATACAAACAATGTACATAGACAGTGCAGGTATACAAACAATGTACACAGACAGTGCAGGTATATAAACAATGTACATAGACAGTGCAGGTATATAAACAATGTACACAGACAGTGCAGGTATACAAACAATGTACACAGACAGTGCAGGTATATAAACAATGTACACAGACAGTGCAGGTATACAAACAATGTACATAGACAGTGCAGGTATATAAACAATGTTCCTAGACAGTGCAGGTATATAAACAATGTTCCTAGACAGTGCAGGTATATAAACAATGTACACAGACAGTGCAGGTATACAAACAATGTACACAGACAGTGCAGGTATACAAACAATGTACATAGACAGTGCAGGTATACAAACAATGTACACAGACAGTGCAGGTATATAAACAATGTTCCTAGACAGTGCAGGTATATAAACAATGTACAGAGACAGTGCTGGTATATAAACAATGTACATAGACAGTGCAGGTATATAAACAATGTTCCTAGACAGTGCAGGTATATAAACAATGTACATAGACAGTGCTGGTATATAAACAATGTACACAGTGCAGGTATATAAACAATGTTCCTAGACAGTGCAGGTATATAAACAATGTACATAGACAGTGCAGGTATATAAACAATGTACATAGACAGTGCAGGTATATAAACAATGTTCTTTTAGACAGTGAGGTATATAAACAATGTATATAGACAGTGCAGGGTATATAAAACAATGTATATAGACAGTGTATATATAAATAATGTACACAGACAGTGCAGGTATATAAACAATGTTCTTAGACAGAGGTATATAAAACAATGTACATAGGATAGTAAGATATAAACAATGCGTACATAAGACAGTGCAGGTATACAAACAATGTACATAGACAGGAAGGTATATAAAACAATGTACATAGACAGTGAGACACAAACAATGTAATACAGACAGTGAGGTATATAAACAATGTTCCTAGACAGTGTATATAAATAATGTACATAGACAGGCAGGTATATAACAAATGTACATAGACAGTGCAGGTATATAAACAATGTACACAGACAGTGCAGGTATATAAACAATGTACATAGACAGTGCAGGTATATAAACAATGTACATAGACAGTGCAGGTATATAAACAATGTACATAGACAGTGCAGGTATACAAACAATGTACATAGACAGTGTAGGTATATAAACAATGTACATAGACAGTGCAGGTATACAAACAATGTACATAGACAGTGCAGGTATACAAACAATGTACCTAGACAGTGCAGGTATATAAACAATGTACATAGACAGTGCAGGTATATAAACAATGTACATAGACAGTGCAGGTATACAAACAATGTATATAGACAGTGCAGGTATATAAACAATGTACATAGACAGTGCAGGTATATAAACAATGTACATAGACAGTGCAGGTATATAAACAATGTACATAGACAGTGCAGGTATATAAACAATGTACATAGACAGTGCAGGTATACAAACAATGTACACAGACAGTGCAGGTATATAAACAATGTACACAGACAGTGCAGGTATATAAACAATGTACATAGACAGTGCAGGTATATAAACAATGTACACAGACAGTACAGGTATATAAACAATGTACATAGACAGTGCAGGTATACAAACAATGTACACAGACAGTGCAGGTATACAAACAATGTGCATAGACAGTGCAGGTATATAAACAATGTACATAGACAGTGCAGGTATACAAACAATGTACATAGACAGTGCAGGTATACAAACAATGTACATAGACAGTACAGGTATACAAACAATGTACATAGACAGTACAGGTATACAAACAATGTACACATAGACAGTGCAGGTATACAAACAATGTACATAGACAGTGCAGGTATACAAACAATGTACATAGACAGTGCAGGTATACAAACAATGTACACATAGACAGTGTAGGTATACAAACAATGTACATAGACAGTACAGGTATACAAACAATGTACATAGACAGTGTAGGTATACAAACAATGTACACATAGACAGTACAGGTATACAAACAATGTACATAGACAGTGTAGGTATACAAACAATGTACACATAGACAGTGCAGGTATACAAACAATGTACATAGACAGTGTAGGTATACAAACAATATATAGACAGTACAAATTATACAAACAATATACATAGACAGTACAGGTATACACAAACAATATACATGAACAGTACAGGTATACAAACAATATATACATAGACAGTACAGGTATACAAACAATGTACCCATAGACAGTACAGGTATACAAACAATATACATAGACAGTGAGTATACAAACAATGTACAGAGACAATGCAGAGTATACAAACAATATTCATAGACAGTACAGGTATACAAACAATGTACATAGACAGTACAGGTATACAAACAATGTACATAGACAGTACAGGTATACAAACAATATACATAGACAGTACAGGCATACAAACAATGTACATAGACAGTGCAGGTATACAAACAATATACATAGACAGTACAGGTATACAAACAATATACATAGACAGTACAGGCATACAAACAATGTACATAGACAGTACAGGCATACAAACAATGTACATAGACAGTGCAGGTATACAAACAATGTACATAGACAGTACAGGCATACAAACAATGTACATAGACAGTACAGGTATACAAACAATATACATAGACAGTACAGGCATACAAACAATGTACATAGACAGTACAGGTATACAAACAATGTACATAGACAGTACAGGTATACAAACAATGTACATAGACAGTACAGGTATACAAACAATATACATAGACAGTACAGGCATACAAACAATGTACATAGACAGTGCAGGTATACAAACAATATACATAGACAGTACAGGTATACAAACAATATACATAGACAGTACAGGCATACAAACAATGTACATAGACAGTTATATACAAACACATAGACAGTGCAGGTATACAAATAATGTACATAGACAGTACAGGTATAAAACAATGTAATATAGACAGTACAGGTATACAACAATAAAATATGACAGTGCAGGTACAAACAATGTACATAGACAGTACAGGTATACAAATAATGTACATAGACAGTAGGTATACAAACAATGTACATAGATAGTACAGGTATACAAACAATGTACATAGACAGTACAGTATAAACAATATACATAGACAGTGCAGGGCACAAACAATGCACATAGACAGTAGGTGATACAAAACAACGTAACTCCAGACAGTGCAGGTATATAAACAATGCACATAAGACAGTGCAGGAGAAGTTGGCGAATGCACACAGACAGTGCAGGTATATAAACAATGTACATAGATAGTGCAGGTATATAAACAATGCATATAGACAGTAGGTATATAAACAATGTACAGACAGTGCAGGTATATAAACAATGTATATAGACAGTGCAGGTATATAACACGTATATAGACAGT